TTCAGCTTTAAAAGAAATGTGAATCTGCGCGCAATTCTTTACTGTACATTATAGAAGTCATTTCAGAGCACAAGTACCTCATGTCTCCTACTACAAAAACGTTCATGTCAAATGTGCCAACGATATGCCAGGTATCTACGATTTCCTCCACAGAGTTTTCATAACTTCTACATCTTTCAGATGTTCATTGCTACGGTTATACTGCTTGGGATCCCGTAGAACAGGCAGTAATTATTGCTTTTGAGGGCACCAGTACTGGCTTTCAAATGACTGATGAAATACTCAGCTTCTTTTTGTAAATTTGCTCTAATTTGTGTTGAAAAAACCTATTTCGTTGTCGTTTCAGCCACAAGGTCGCTTTCTTTGATAATGGCTACTTGTTCAAATATTTCCATGATGCATTCTTTTTCTTATGGAACGGAGGTCTCGAGCAACAAGTTCGAACGCTTAAATACCAATATCCAAACTATAAAGTCTACGTAGGTTACAAAAAAATAATTAAAGGTTGAGAAAAGACGCAAAATTCATTTGTTGATTTGTGGATTTCAGATTACCGGGCACTCATTGGGAGCATCGATTGCGTCAATAACGGCAGCATATCTTGTGAAATGGAATATGTGGGCCCCAAATGATGTTAGACTGATAACTTATGGGCAACCAAGAACCGGTGATTACGATTTCGCCGTATGGCAAGCTGCTACAGTAAGTTTTTTTAAAATATAGCGCCCTAAAGAACATCTTACAAAAACCTGTAAAGACAACGTTGTTAGTGAAAATGTTTTCAGTTTCCCTATTCTTATCGCGTTGTTCACCACCGGGACCCTGTGCCTCACATACCTCCGAGGCTAGGACCGGACAATGTGTTCCATCATCGCTATGAAGTGTGGTAGGCACTTTCTTACGAGGTTTTGATGCTGACACCAAAAGTAAAAATAAATGAACCCAAGATGGCTTTGAACTTAATTTAGGTACAACAATGATATGGCTGTTGGACAGCCGTACACGATTTGCCAAGAAGCTGACGGCGATTACTGTAGTAATACTGCACTTAATGGAGAATCTTGGGAACACATGTGGTACTTTGACCGCGATATTGGCGAATGGGGAGTGAACGGATGCCCGTCAAATTTTACAACAGCGAAAACACCAATTTAACTATAATAAAGTTTATAGTCTTTGATTTACATTGTCTAAAATCCATTAAGCAACATCAGAACATATTCTTCAAAATTTCAGGAAGGTTTTTGTGCGTTTCTCTGAAATATTTGGACGGATATCGGGAGTCGCATTCATACACAAAAACAAAGAGGTGAAGTATGATCAATGCAAGGCAAAAGCAAATCAGAAAAGCAAAGGTTCCAGAAATAGCAGCGAAAATTTGACATCTTTGGGTCCGACGTCCCAAAAAGGGCAAGCTAACGTTTCTATATACACGATGGGAAAATTCGGATCTCAAATGCTATGCATTCAAATAGGACACTTGTTATATGTAATACAATAAGTAGTAGGACGAACATGTGCCCATTATGATTGCTTGCACCGATAGATTGAAATACACGATGCTATATCTTTACCAGAGATGGTCTTATTATCCAAATGTCATTGTTCGGACACAGCGATGAACAGTGCTCACATTGAACAAGCCGTTCTTCGCTGGGACAAATAATTAGCAAGTCGGATTTTGGCGAAATAAGACTGTGCGAGTACAAGAAATGTAGAAGTATGTGAAGACGCGTTTTCTGAATGTTTTTTCGGCACTTTTTTCACAAGTTACTGAAAAAGTTTTTGTAGTCAATATGGCGCTATGATCTCGCTTTTATTCATAACAGTATTCACTTGTATAATTCATTGTAAAATATACCTAATCCACACAAAATTAAACAAGCTAAATCACCGAAACTGTATTGAAGGCAAAGTGAGATTTTGACTAATCTCATGGGCTAACTCAAAAAATGGCTTTTCTACAACCTTTTTCATGGTCGCTCTGCAGTATATTAATGATCGGCCAGATATTTTGCGCGTTTGAAGAAGCAAGAGATCCTGAAGATATTCCGTACAAAAAGCTTTT